GTTATTCCTCCCATCATTTAAGGATCCAGGCGTCATTTCATCAAAGACATTAAGGAATATAATAATTGTATTTTGTATACATTTCATTTATCAATTTTGAACATGCTCATTTATGTAGCTGCGAGAAGGAACCTCTTTAGAGGCCAGGAAAACCGGGCAGAAAAGTTCTAAAATTGAGCGGGATATGTGTTGTTTAATTATTGGGTTTGTACTTAAACTTCGATTTACAAAGCTGGTTATCTTTCGTCTTTATTTTCATTGCTTGTGTTAACATTACTAAATTACAATTTGCAGAACCTGTGTTAAATAATTTCTACACCTCACTTCGAATCTTCTATTTATCCGGTAGGCTAAAGGGATTCAAGCTGAAAAACAACGTCCGTGGAAAGTAACTTTAGCTGTGCTTTGTTCGTGAATCGGATACATTGTATTTTTAAAAGACCACATTAGCAAACTCAAAGGCCGTCTAAGAGGAACAGGCAGGCGGCCTGCAACTCGACTACAGCACCACCCGCGGCTAGCCGCTGAATGATATAGATAAGAGAATTGCTAGCAATTAACATTGCTTTGTTCATCAAAAGGCAGTTAATGTGACACAGCGAGCAAGGATGTACCATCGATATTCCAAAATATCACCTTGATACTTCTGGTTCATCGTACTAGTTAAGTCGCCTGCAATGAGAAAAACGAGCTGTTAATGAAGCCTTTCTCGGGAGTCTTTCATGTTATTCTCAAGGGTTTCTATATTTCAATTATACATAAAGTTATAAACTAGTCTTCCTTTTGTTATTTTCACGTTTCCCTCTACGGGGCGTCTCGTTTCAATAACATGGCACTAACGATTTAGTGTGCTAGAACGATCACTTATGCCTTTGCTTTGATTGAAACGGCCGAAACGATGCAAACCATTTTGTCTGCAAAGTCCACTATCGAACGTTGAAACCCTTCGATAAAATGCTTTCAATAAGAACGACCCTGCATTTGTTTGATTTCCTCTGTTTCTGGCTGTTGAATCCCATGCAGATTAATTTGACAATCAACAATCGACGATCTTGAGATACCCGCAAGAAAAAACTTATCTGTATGCAGGTACCATAGTTTCATAATGGATCAGGCCTGCATTCAATTATTACAGGAGCTGCACAAGGCCTTGACCGTCATTGTTTTATCAAACGGTTTCCATTTGTTGTGGCTTTGTGTTCAGGCTTGTTATTTCTTCTAATGCTTTGGATGTTCTATTAAAATGGACAGTGTTTGTCAAACAACTGCTGTTTTCATTGCTGCATATTTTGATGATTCATATTGTGATTATTTTGATAAATTTATGTAGGCATCAGGGGCGTGCAGTGGCTCAAGCCCCTTTGCCCTCATTGGCCCAAGTGCACTTTTTTGCTTGCAGAAAAAAAGTCCAACAAATTTATTTTTTTTCGTCACTTGACGATTCTGCTTCTGTATTTAGTACGGATCTCCTGTTAGGAAAAAAAAAAGTTGGACTTAATTGATCTCACCCGAGTACAAGTGCCCGCCTCCAGTTCGTTGTAAAATGCGGAGAAAAAAGCAGCGATAAGTAACGTAGGTTACTAGTACTACAGAGGTGGAGGTCGTGTTAAACATTTTTGAACGGTGAGAAGATACACAGATTTTTCAGAAGGACTGTACAAAAGTAACACACCAAGGGTGTCGTGTTGAGCACTTTGTGTTTAAGAAAGCCTATTTTCATTCACCTGTTCTAGGTTTGCAAACCGACGAACTCTCCACGTTATTGTCTGCATGGCTACTTAGCTACAGTAGCTAGATTTGAGATTTCCTTCAGAAAATTTAATTAACTGAGTACACAAGCCAGTCTTTTTGTATTTGATATAAACAGCTAACATGCATATTCTTTGTTGTATGTATATATATGGTTCAGTCACAGAAACAGGAGAGCATGCTGTTCGAAAAAAGAAAATGGCAGACGAACAGGTAAATGGTCATCAAAAACGTACGCCTCAATAACAGAAGAGTCTTGCCTCACAAGAATGATTACATCGGTAAATGTTGTACGACTTAAGTTTTAATTAATATCAAAACTGACTGTAGCCTATTTAAGCCTAAGATACAGGCTATATGAGTAGTAATTCCATGATCATTTTTAGATATCTCTGACAAAGTGTTTTTAGGTCACGACCAATAAATAATTATATCGGAATTCAATTTATAGCTTAATATATAATTATAAAAAAATTGATGTTGATGTATAAAATAATGTTTAAACGTTTAGTAGTGTACATTGAGGAATTTCAAGAGATATCTTTATAAGACAAGTAAATGATCTGTATCTTTTTATTTAAACTAATGAACCTATTGACGAGCATGAGTGTCTGGAAGAGCAGGGAGCATTAACAGAAATGGGCAAAATTAAGGAGATGGAATCAGAACAGGGAGAAAAGGAATCACTAAAGGAAGAAGTAGAGACAGAGAACATGTAGAGACAGGAAAGGAAGAGATGGACACAGAAAGATATCTTGTCTGTTAATCAAACATAATCGGCAACTATAGACAACAATTTTTTTTGCCAAAGTTGTGAATATCATAATGCCTCTGAAGTCACATCCAAACTTCCTGTAAAATTAAAAAACACAGAAATACAAGAAGACACTGAGTTGTGTCCAGAATACTCTAATGTAACAAGTCCTGCCCTGGAAAGTGCCCCTTCTTCCCTTTTTGAGCCACTGCCCACCAAAAGGTCTCTGCACGTCTCTGCTAGGCATACCATTGAAGACCAGTTATTTTTTATCACATCAACACATAAGCAGATAAGAGTTTTTTTTTTTCAATCCAGGGTGCTATTACCCGATTAAGGTTCATTGGGGGAAAATATGGATTGGCTATATTGAAGGAAATCAGTTTAAAATAATTTGGTCCCTCAAGCTGTGAAAATGCTCAATTAAATATGGTGTTTTCTGTGGGGTCCCATCAAAAGAAATGTACTTTGTTAGCATATCCTTAGTATTATTTCTGTTTGTAGTTGCTGTCTGTGCTATTTATAAAGGTTCTTGTTTACTTTGAATTCACAGTTCTTCTTCAATTACAACAATTAACTGGAATGAAATGGTTATTGAGATTGTCTTCTGGAAAAAAAATAAAACTGAGTGCCTGAAGGCATACGAAGGAGAAAAAATTAGCATGGCACAGAAAGAATGGCAGTTTAAATCCAAATTGCCAGGCAAATCTGTTGGGGTCATACTAGTTAAAAACTGATATGCTTTCCAATTGTTTTTAGTTTGTGCGAGACTGAAAAGCTTTCCATTTTCGTGGCCTACAGGGCAGCTTCGAGAGCCTTTCTCCAGAAGCTAGTTCTACATTATATGTGAAGGAAAACACTTGCCAGCAATAATCAACCGAAATCCTTCAGATCACAACAGAGAAATATTAAATTATGCACCTGACCTTGAGACTAATATTCAGGCCGCAAAAGGTCCCCCAAAAAGGTGCAGCAACAACCTTGAGCTTTTTCTTTTGTATTGCATGTCTGATGCTCATGTTGAATCTGTTGTACAGAATGCAGAATACAAGGAGATAGAAAATTAAAGAACACACTGGATGTTGAGTGTAAAATTATAATCATTTTTGTAGGATTACCATATTTGAACATTCAAAAAAAGAAGACACTTCGTCGGCTGAGGTGGGGGACAAGTTTTGGCTAGTCTGAATGGTTTGTTTCTTCAGAGCCCTGGGGTGTATATTGTTGTCACATCCAGGGTGAGAGCAGTTGTGTGCCTTCAGTGCCACTTTGCTCCCTGCCAGGCTCGGGCTTGGTCCTTGCTGCTGCTCTCTGCATGATAAGCAGTTTGATAATGGCTGGATGGAGGTAGTTTCAATAGCGTTTTGATTGTTTGCTCAGATAATTGCTGTAGATCAGGGGTTCCCAACCTGCAGGCTCACACACCTGGTTTTTGTTCCAAACAAGATGTGTTACGCAATTGAACACTTAATTTAATTGACAGGAATAGTGTTAACTGTTGGAGTATATTCTGATTTTAAACATGTCTGTTATCTTTCTCACTGCTGCATTTTATTATACCATCAATATTCAAAGTTTTGAATAAAAAAATCAATGATCTTGATGGTTCAATTAAGGCCTCAATCAGGTAATTAAGCTCACCTGGCTGGAATGGAGGCCGGCAAGTGTGCTTGTGCCCCCAGGACCAGGAATGCGGACCCCTTGCCTCAGATAATGACATTAGAAGGGCCCTGGTTAGGTTAATTAGTGCATGTTTAGCCATTGTCCTTTTGCTCATTATACAATTGAAATGATCAAATCATTTGTTTTTATAACACCAGAGGATTTAGTCAGAAAATGTGTTCGAAGAACAGTTAATATTGGATATGTGGTCCATACTGAGTATGTACACAGCATCAAATTCAACAATTAAAATACTGTATGCTTCTAAATAAAGGAATAGATTGCTGCATTGTTGAAATTTTTCATTGCCAACCTTCTCTCCTGAGTTAATTAGCATGGACTGAAATGAGCTCTGCAGGATAATACTCAGACAGAGCTGTCAAAACTGTTTAATGTGTAGTATGATCTGAAATACACTCTATGACATCCAACATAACCTCAACAGTATGATAAAACCCCCCAAACCTTAAAATGACTTAAAAGATTGAATGCTTATACAGACCAATATTTAATTGTTGCTCTTTTTATGTTTTTATCCTTCAGTAGAAGTTGTTCCCTTATCATTCATTCCAAATTTAATGAGGTAATCAAAGGTAATACTTCAAACGGACTTAAACCGAGAATATTATTTCTCAGTGTTTAACTTGCAAAAGTGAGACCCACTAAAAGTGCTTATTTTATAATACAGAAGTACAAATACTACACAGTAAAGACATTTGATTTCCTGATGGTGTTTTAAGTGCTCTATAGATGGAGAAAATACACCAGATTAAAAGGGACTAATTTAAAAACTAATTCATTTAGTTTGTTTTAGACAAATAATTAGACACACTGGTAAGATAATTTACATTAACATTTAATAGCTAAAGTATGTACAAGCAGACAGATATTAAACACTATTACATGACCATTTGCAGTATAGTTTACAGTATGTAAGCTAAACAACATATATAAAGAGACTGTACATACTGTATATTTAAAAAACAAGACAAATTACATTTCATTATAATAGTCAAATTACATTGCATGTATACTGGTATAATTAATAAAAACAAGACTAGACAGTTTTCAGCTGTTTAATTTTGAAGCTCATCAATGACTTATGACAATTCTAGCCAAATGTTTTTTTTTATTGCACTCCAAGTTAACAATAGTTGTTGAAACAAACATTATGCTGAAACAAAGCTTATATAATTTAATAGCCTCATAAAGTAGTTGTTACATAAATTGGAAAGAGTGAGGCACAGTAAAAAAACAAAATTAACGCTAGCCATCCTGGGAAGTTGAAAATCCTTTTGCCGTCAGTGGTATGAAACAAACAAGCGCATGAAATTCCCCAAGTTGTCAGTGCTCCTCTTCGGAAAGAAAGTCGGCTGTGATCAAGTAGATTACCTCTGCAGCCCCATTTTCCCATGCCGTATACCTCTTTACAGCTACGTCTCAAAGAGGTATATGCATAGGAAAAAGGAACAACGAGCACAGTGCCTTCTGACTTGTTACTTTCTTGACCTAAGGAGAGTCAACCACAGTTTGAAACAGAAGTTGTTCTAAAATAACCACACGCATGTTTAACTGTTAACTTTTCATAGTTCTCTCTTAGAAATGTTTGGTAAACCAAAACTTTTTTCTCTTTAACCTCTCTCTCATACAAATAAAAGAAAACCCACCAATTTCCACAACATGACAATTTTATCTTTTCTTGCGAACTAAACAGTTCCATACACATATAATACCGGTGTGGCTCTGTTACTGATTTTATTTTATTTTATTTATTTACAAGTGATCATTTTAGATAAACATGTTATAAAATGTATTATGCATAAGGAAATAACTATTAAGGCCTTTGTGCAGTAACAGAGGTACACTTTAACATTGCCACTCTAATAAAATTAAATACCTGATTTAAAGAGAACAACCTATTGGAACTTTATTCAGAATGGAAAAAGTGCCAGCTTACCGTGTTAAGAGGCCAGGCTATCTCCTCTCTTTCGGCATGTCCACTTCAGAATTTATTTGTTGTGTAAGACCTTGAAGATGTTTAAGGAAAACAGAGTAGCTGTTTTCACAGCTAAGCAATCGCCTACCTTTTTTTTTTTTGGCAAGGACTGAAACTGCACCTGCAGAAATGAACACATCATTTCAACAATGGCAACAAGGAAAAAAAAATTTCGAACTGGAAAGTGCCTTGCTCCGCAAAGTCTGTCAACAAGGTCCGTTCAAGCACTTTTTAGAGATTGGCGGGTATTAGAGTGTGTTGTAATTCTAATTATGCTGTCAAATAGATAATAAGCTATCTTGCCTTCAGACGTCAATGCTGTGGAAAAGCAGAGAGAAGAGCAGAACTCCTTGTTCCCAAAAGTTGAAAGTTTCTTATCTCCCAGGGTCCTTCACAGAAGATAGGTTGTTACTTGGGCCTCAAGGTCTGTGGACAAGGCTTCTAAAAGCTATTTCAGCAAAACCAAGGCAAGCTGTTCTCCATCAAGGACAAGGCAGACTGTGTTTTGCTTAAAAAGAATGAAATTATTTTTTTAACCATTTCATAGGAACTTTTAATTGCTTTTCAAAAGTAGGATCAGACAGTACATACAAAAATCATTTTCCATGTTAAACCTTGTGGGCTTCTTTCATGAAAAGCTCTTTACTGAATTTCCTAAATAATTATGAATAAACATATATAATATAAATAATTATCCTTGAAGTTTCTTGACAGAGTTTCAAGTTATAGGTACACTACCTGAATGTATCTGAAAGAACTGTTGGACATATGGCAGAGAACATTTGGCAATGACATGTTTATAGAAAGAATATTAAATGTTTTTTTTAGAAAATAAAAACAATTGTTACCATTCTTGGTTTATTTTTCCAATAAAAACCAAGAAGCATTTGTGAGGATGTACATTATATTTAAAAAAGATTACTATTGAGGAAATATTTTGAATGTTTTCTGTAATCTTACACATTCTTACAGATTTTATACATAGGTAGATCCTGACGTATATTTCTATCATAGAGTTGTTCTCTACTTGGGCATCAAAATACAGCGCCTTTTATTTGTCCATATTTTTTTTTCTGGGCACTACTGATATCCAACAGTACAATTACAAAGGTGAATGAATGTTACCAATAGATGGCAGCAATTTCAGATATTTTTCTGTTCTGTGAGCCTCTTCGCTTTATTCTACAAGCCAACTTAGCTTCACAGTGCACATCTTAGATGGACATTATATTTCTTCACTAACCTCACTATGTGTTAGTCTAATTGAATTTCAGAATTTTAAACTTCACTGTTCAGTCAGAATATCCTGTGAGCAGCCCAGTTTACACTGAATCGACTTGTAAAAAGATAGACTGCATGGCCCATTGATCATGTCAGAATGTTTTATTAGAAATTGACAACTGATTTTCTTTTTGAGTTTGTCAAAGCAAGGCTTTTTTTGTAATACTCACACCTGCTATATTCTCCGATTTTGATTTCTTCATGCAGAAAAATGAGCAAGGAGAGTTTTCTCATGATTTTGAAGCCAAAATGTCTAATTATTTAGAGTTCATTAAGTTCTACACTGATTGCCCTGGAAGCACAGGGGTCAGAATTGCTGTCTTGCAGCACTTGGGCCCTGAGTTCAATTTCAGACTTGGGGTGCTATATGCTTGAAGTTTGTATATTCCCCTCATGTTTATGTGGGTTTCCTCCCACAGTTCCAAAACACACTGGAAGGGAAAATTGAGCATGGTGAGAGTGAGAGTGTATCTGCGAGTGCCCACCCAGGATGTAGAAGAATTGGGTGAAGCAGTTAGAAAATTGATGGATGGATGTTGAATACTTTACGTGTGCAGGGGTCTTGGATTCTGTTCCTGGAGGGCCTTGTCTTCTGGTTTTTATTCCAAAGCAAGACCAATTAAACAATTAACCCGATTATTTTCTAGGTTCTATATAGGATTTTACAGTTGATTACACAGAAGTCTATTTCATTAAAAGTTTTAATTGAAAGCCTGATTAGAAGTATTAAAGACATGTAGCTATATGTACTTTTAATGTGGCAGCCCTTTTAGAACTGAGTTTGAGACCCCTAGACTAGAGCTGGTCCTGGGGACCCACACGCCTGCTGGTTTTGTTCCACCTGAACACTCAGTAACATAATCTAACCCTTCATTTTTTCAATTTGAATTGTTGGCTGTTCCTAAATATTTAGGGGGTTGCCTATTAACCATTTCTTAAGCAGCTTAATAATTAAAAAAAAACTTCCAAATGTTCTGACCAAGCAACATTTTGGTTCATTTATTGATTCAATTAAGTATAGAGCTACAGTGAAAACCAGCAAGTCTGTGGTTCCCCTGGACAAGGACTGGGATCCCCTGTATTACATTATGAATACATGCCAGGAGAGACAAATAATACTGGTACAGTTGTTGTTTTAAAGATAGGTTGTTTGTCTTCCAGTTTTATATTCTACAGACAGTACAGTAAAGTTCATCTTTAGTTGTCTATTGTTGTTGGATATTTTTTTTTCCTTAACAGCAGTGAAGCAAGGGTTTGGAATGATGTAACCAGCTGAAGAATCTAAGTCAAGAATAAACATCTCGAGTCTCCAAGGCCAGCAATATTGTCTGATTAAAGTTCAGTTCTGATGCAAATGAGGGAATTGGACTAAGTGTTTGGAAAATATGTCTTTTTGAAAAAACTAGCAGGACCTTCAGTTGACAGCACCTTTCTCTGTGAAGCACTCAACATTTAAAGACATTGCACAGGCAATTATGACGGAAGAACATCTTCCTTCATAATTTCTTAAACTTATATAGCGCTTTTCTGGACTGTCCACTCAAAGCGGTTTACAGGTAATGGGGATTCCCTTCCACCACCACCAATGTGCAGCATCCACCTTGATGATGCAACTGCAGCCATAGTGCGCCAGAACGCTCACCACACATCAGCTATCAGTGGGGAGGAGAGCAGGGTGATGAAGCCAATTCATAGATGGGGATTATTAGGAGGCCATGATTGGTAAGGGCCAATGGGAAATTTGGCCAGGACGCCGGGGTTACACTGACGGAACACTACTCTTTTCGAGGAGCGTTCTGGGATTTTTAATAACCACAGAGAGTCAGGACCTCAGTTTTATGTCTCATCCAAAGAGTGGCGCTTGTTAACAGTATAGTGTCCCCGTCACTATACTGGGGCATTAGGACCCACACAGACCACAGGGTGAGCGCCCCCTGCTGGCCCCACTAACACCTCTTCCAGCAGCAGCCTTAGTTTTTCCCAGGAGGTCTCCCAACCAGGTACTGATCAGGCTCACACCTGCTTAGCTTCAGTGGGTTGCCAGTTGTGAGTTGCAGAGTGATATGGCTGCTGGCCAGTGATTTTTTTTCATTTACGTTTGTTCCAAGACCATTTTAGGTTTGGTGTCAGAATGACTTCTGTATTTAAGACCATGCTTTGTTTTCATTACTATAAAAATCTTTCTAAACATTAAGCAAAGTGATGTTTTCTGAATCTTATCCATCTCAGGCTTCAGACTGGATAAGTAGACTAGCTACACTTGTCAGCGGGATATTAAGTCTTTCATCTGGACTCATGTTATGACTACTGGTTTTTTATAGTGGTATTGAGATGTTAGTGTGCAGAGTTGCCTAGTACGTAAGGTAAGGTAGAAATAAGGGATTCTCATTTTTCATTGATTTCTTTGAGATGTTATAAATGTATATACTGTATATATACATACACTTTAAACAGAACTCTGAGGTACTACGTTTCACAGACTGAAGCACAATTCATCCATTTTCTAACTGCTTCATCCACTTCCAGGTCATGGGGGAGCCAGATCCTATCCCAGCAAGCAATGGGTACAAGGCAGGGTTTACCCTGGATGGCTGTACATACTAGGACTTATTTTCCAAGAAACCAATTAACCTTATTAATAAAAAAACACATAAACTCAGGGAGAACATGCAAACTCCACACAGATAGCACTCCAGATCCTGAATTTACTCCAGGGACCCAGCTCATGCAGCAATACTGGACTACTGTGCCACCCTTCTACCGTAGAAATAATCCAAGCAGTTTAATTTCTGTAATTTATTAATTCCAATGTAACATGTCCTAGATGCAGAACAATGTTTCATTTCAAGTTAAATACTTAAAAACTGTGAGATTGTCAAATTTTTATGTAATTATCAAAAATCCAATTTTATTTAATTATCATTTTTCATTTTACGATTAATGTTGACAATTATTCCGCTTTCACGCAAATTATAAGAAATCAGTTAATATGTGATATTGCTCTTGTTACAGTATTTTTTAAAGTAGAGAAAATGCCTTGTATCCTAATCTTATTGCAAGTTGTATCTTAATATTTGAGTGGTATTACTATTATGTGCCCTTAGTATTACACAGCCTCATACAAAATCAATACGCTGTGTGGTGGAAATTTTAGTTTTGACATTGCTATGTTTCTCAAGACAAGAGGTCACTGGTAAAAATCTATTTTAAGATTAATAATCTTCTGAAGACAAGGACACCACCATGAAACAAAATAATGCTTCCAGCAGTTACAAATGTGTGTGTGTTCCTTAACACCAGAATGCTCTTCAGCTAAATATGAAAGACTCCCATCTTTACTATTATCTGACTAACTAATGCAGTATTTATCTGGATTCCTAATTGTATGTTAATCTCCTGTTTCACAGTCAAATGTATGAAAGAAAATAGCACGAAATAGCTGTGACCAACACATAACAGATACTGTTTAAAAGAAATTAAGGGAAAGGAGAATTATAGCTCTGTCATATTGAAATATAGTATATAGATGAAAGCAGGATTATTTTAAAGAGACTTTAAAGTTCATACTTTGTTCCTCAATGGTGGGGATCTTGAAATACTATGATTACATAATCAAACATTTTCAATAACATTTCTTCACACAGCGTTTTTGATGAACTCATTGGAAACAAATGTACAAATATTTACAAACAAAAATATTTTTGGAGAACATACAGTGCACACAACTTTGTTAAATAAAATGCCAAACTTGTTAAAGTTTAATTATTTTCTTTACTTTCTACAAATGTTCTACAAACTCCCAGCTTTTAAGTTTAATTCATAAAAAAGTAATACAGTAACCAACTCCAGAAAATAACACTGTCTTCATATCTGCTTCTACATGAACATGAATTGTATCATGTGCTGATTGTCTCTGTGGCAAATTGTGTTCATTGCAAAGAGAGGAGACTTAATTGCAAGTGTAATATTACTGTGATTATGCGTGTAATTCACTTCTT